TTTACATTCGGGGTGGGGGGGGCGGTGAGGAGGAAATAAGGCCCTTACAAACAAAACAAAACAAACAAACAACAACAAAACAATGGGGCGGGGGGGGGCGGAGTGTAAAGATATTACCCGTGTCCACAAATGCAACTAGTCCGGTGCCCGGCCCCAGAGCTCCGGACAAGGGCACGGTCCTCGAGCCCTGTGGCAGTCCACTGGCCACTGAGAAAGGGGGACGGTCCTCCCACTGCCCAGATGCGTGTACCCTCTTGACCCCGCCAAACCCTCCTGGCCCCCGAGCTTGGCCCCAGACCTATTCATCCCTCCAAGAATCCCAAAATCATCGTTACCCTTCTCCAGGACCTATTTCCCCCACTGCTGCGCTGTCACCCAACCGAGACAGTTCTGTCTGCCGCTTGCCCCCAGAGGGAGAGAGACGTTCCAAGCTCGAGGCGTCTGGGGTCTTTCCCCTCCCCTCACAACTGAATTTGCCCTCAAATGCTGGTATTCCTACTTATCCTTCTTTAGTGCCAGAAGGGGAAGCCATTACTTCCAGTTGGGGGATACAGGTAAAGGAAAAAGGTGGTACCTGAGCTGGGCTTTCACACACATGGAGTGTTTCTGCAGGAAAAATGGGGGGGGGGAAGGGCAGGGCAGATATTTATACCTTTTAACTTAGTGATGCCCCAACTTCCCACGTATGCCCAGAGGGTCAAAGACAGAAAGGTGTCCTGTTCACCAAAATAGTCAGAATATCCTGTTTTGTGATTGCAAAATACTGGAAACAAAGTGGGTGCCCACTGATTGAAAAAGACTGAACAGATTGTAGTATCTGAATATAATGAAGCGAAAAATAACATGATTACAGGTTTATATGTTCCTTAGTTTTACTGAGTGGGCTTTTCTCTCATTTTTTATTTTGTGTCTTTATTAAAAAGGGGGACTCCATGGGGAGATGAAAGAGAAAGGATATAGTTGGAAATGAAGATGATATACAAACAAAAGATATAAATTAAAAAAAAATATGGGGAATTCAGAGAAACATGGAAAGACTTGTATGAATTGATGGAGAGCAAAGAAAGCCAAACTAAGAGACAGTTATATAGAGTGACCACCATGATGATGGGGAAAAGACTCCTAAAGGGTGGCTAAACTCAAATGAATTGCAGCAACCAATACTGGTTCCCAAGAAGGGAAGATAAAACACAGTTCCCTCTTCTCCCGTGGAAATATTATAGCTGACAGTAGGCACACGTGGTATGGCACTTCATTAAATGCCTGCTAATTAAGTGCCTAATTAATGCTTGTTGACTGACTTACTGACTGAATACATTGACAAACATGTCTATCATAGTTTTTAAATTTTGCTTTCTTAACTACAAAGAAGGAGTCTTCTAGGGGAGACAATTTTGAAAAAGGACTACTTTAATAAACAAAAGTCATCCATTTTCCCCCCCCAAAGATAGGGGATGGAGCAGAGGGGCATTCTGGGAAAAGGTAAGAAGAGAAGTAGAAGGCACATACAAGGACAGACAGTGATGGAGCACAGGATACAATGAGTGAAGAGTCTGAAAAAAATGGTTGGGGGTAAGTCATGGAGGGTCTTAAATGCCGGGCTAAGAAAACTGGATTTTCTTCTGTCAGTAAAGAGTAAACATTAAAGGTTTTTAAGCAGTAAAATGCCTGATGTAGTGGCTAGAATAGGAAGACCTAGTCAGGCTCAAAATCCACTTAAGACATGCATTAGATGGGTGACCCTGGACAAGTCATTTTTCTGTATCTCAAGTTTCCTGATTTGCAAAATGAGGGGGTTGGACCAAATGGCCTCTAAGGTCCCTTCCAGCTCTAAATTTATAATCCTATGATCAAATTAATGATGAATTTAATGTATCAAATCCTATGATCAAATTAACCATCAAAGGTTGGGGGATCAAATTAACATGGCAGTTGTACATAAGTTACATGGGATGGGAGAACAGGGATAAGAGAGGAGACTTAGGGAAAAGAATTAGGAGGCAGTAGTTTTCCAGGTGAGGGGTAAAATGGGCCTGAAAGGGGATGGGGGTGGGACTAGAAACCAGAGATAAGGGATCTAATAGCTAAGGAGCCTGGATAATATCATGTGGGCAACATGATATTTTAGCGAAATATTTTCTATTTTAAAGAATATGTTCTCACTGGATATTTTAGAGAAGGAAAGTGTCATGGACAGATCTATGCATTATGAAGATTATTCTGGCAGCTGTATGAAAGATGGATGATGGCAAAGACTAGAAGCAAAAAGGTCAATTAGGAGGTTATTACAATCAGTCAATAAGCATTTATGAAACCCTTCCTATGTGCCAGGCACTGTGCAAATCACTGGAGAGAAAGAAAGAAAGAAAGAAAGAAAGAAAGAAAGAAAGAAAGAAAGAAAGAAAGAAAGAAAGAAAGAAAGAAAGAAAGAAAGAAAGAAAGAAAGAAAGAAAAAAACCAGCTTGGTGTCTGCCTTCACATTAAAATAGGGAAGAGAGTGTATAAGTAACTAGAGACATATAAGATCTATACAAAGCATGTGGAAGAAAATCTCAGAGCAGAAAGCACTGACCAGTGGAGGTACTAGGAAAGGCCTCCTGTAGAAGGAGGGATTTGAGCTGACTCCTGGAGGAAACTGGGGCCAAATTATGAAGGGCTTTAAATGCCAAAGAACTACATATTTTATCCTTGTGGTAACACGCAGCCTGTGGTTTGTGGGGAGGGAGGTGACAAGAGCACACCTATACTTTGGAAAAGTCTCTTTGACAAGTGAGTGAAAGATATGTAATGGGAAGAGACATGAAGTAAGGAATCCAATAAGGAGAATACTGTAGTAGTTCAGGTGAGAAGTGATGAAGGCTTTAATAACAACAACAACAATAATAATAATAAGTAGCATTTATATAGTGCTTACTATGTGCCAGGTACAGTGCTAAACACTTGATAATTATCTCATTTGATCCTCATAGCAACCCTGGGAGTGGGTACCGTTTATTATTACCCCCATTTTACGGATGGGGAAACTGAGAAGTGACTTGCTAGTGTCTGAGGCCAGATTTGAATTTAGGTCTTCCTGATTCAGGGTTCCCAGCACTCTATCCATTGTATCATCTAGCTGTCCCAACCAAGATGGTAGCCCACTTTGTATGAGTGAAGAGAGCAGGGAACTGGTAGGACAGGTGTAAATGTGAAAACCACGAGATCTGTCCATAGTTTCAGTTTATGGGGTGAGAGTTTAGGAGTTAAGGATGATACCAGGGTTGCTAACTTGAATGAATGGAAAGATGGTGACGTCCCATAAAGTAATAGAGAAGTTTAGAAGACAGGAGTATGCTGGTAAAAAAGATGAATTTTGGTTTAGACATATTGAACTTGAGATGCCTAATGCTTATGGGACATCCAGATGTCCAAAAGGCAATTGGAGCTCAGGAGAGAGTCTTGGGTTGGAAATAGAGATCTGGGAGTCATCTACATAGTTTATAACTAACCAGGGATGGGGAACCTTCAGCCTTGAGGCCACATGTGGCCTTCTAGATCCTTAAGTGAGGCCTTTTGATTGAATCCAAAGGCCGAACTTAAGGATCTAAAAGGCCACATGTGGCCTCAAAGCCTAAGGTTCCCCACCCCTGAACTAAACCTAGAGGAGCTGATGAGATTATAGAGTAAGATAGTACAGAGGGAAAAGAAAAGAGGACCCAGGACAGTGCCTTGGAAGAAACCCATGATTAGTGGGTAATTAGATGTGGATGTCCAGGTGATAAGGACTCAAATGAACTAGTGAAGAGCTGCTTTCTACATAGCTGTCCTCAGGTCTGAACAGGTACTGAGGAGAAAGAGTCATGACTTTAGTGTCTCCTCCACAGGCTAGGAATCACTGGAACTTAGCTATTCTCACTGACCATCGTCCAAACTCCCTCCCTGGGGTCCAGTGCCAAATAACTTTTTCCCGGTTATTCCAGCCCTTCACTGAATTCTCCTGTATCAGAGAAGACCACTTTCAAACAACTCATCATCTAATTAGATGCTGTCATGTATCCCTCTCCTCCACTTGAGAATATTGACCTTCTGGGGGAGGAGTCTATGAGTATTTCAGAGTCCCTCTGAGTAACTGCAACCTTCTTATCTCAGATCCCCCAGTATTCCCTCCAATATTAGTTATGAACTTATCTCCCCAATAACACTTGCACAAACCCTTAGTACCTGTAACTCCCAATTTCAGCACCTTAAACCTCGATCCCCAGGTTCCCAAACGATTTCTGCCTCTATCATGCTCCCCAACAGAACCTACATGCCTTTTCTTAGGCTAACACAGAAACTGCAACCCCAAATTCTGGCTCTCTATTATCTTGAGTCCCTGTTCCCACCCTCCCAAGCATGCACTCTAACCCAGCATTTGAACCTTTAATCTCAGACACCCAGCATGGATATACTCAGCTCAGAAATCCACAGCATCTGAACTCTCAATCTCAGGGTCCTTCCAGAAAGAATATCCTTATCTCAGACACTCCCCAGAATCTGCACCACCAATCCCAGACATTCAACAGGGGCACCTCTACAAACCTACAACACTTGCACCACCAAATTCATGCACCCAGCACAAGCCCTCCAGAACGCACATGTCCATGTCGGGCATCCACAGCACCTGTGCTTCTAATCTCAGACCCCCATTATATGCATTCCATCTCAGACATCCACAATATCTGCACTCTAAATCTAGAGCATCCAGCATGGGTATCTTCAGCCCAGAAAATTTACAGCACCTGTCCCATTCTTAGCTCAGGTATCCAGTATATGCACCCTCAAGTATGTCTCCCGTCTCAGGCATGCCCAGCTCCTGCAGCTCAAGCTCAGCCCCTCCAGTATGTGCATCCCCCACCTCAAGCCCTCCATAATTTCACTTCCAATCTCAACACCCCAGAATGTCAATCTCAGGCCCCCAGAACGACCATCCCCAGGTATCACCTTGAGCATCACATATCCCAGAGAACCCCAGGTATTACCCGGGGGAGTTTTGCTCCGCGATTCCTTCTTGTGAGACTTCATGACTCCGTCAGCCCCGAGAACACCCCTTTTCCTAATCTTGACCCTGACCCCAGGCCGCGCACTAATTGACTAGTTTCCGAGATCTAGAGCGCAGTACGCGGACCTCCAGCCGAGACAGAGCTCAGAGCCCGCGCCTGCGCCGGCGTTCGCGAGTCTAGTCAGGCGCCGTCGTCACCTTGGCAACCGCAGCCTCCATGGCAACTGCTCGCCCCAAAGAAGAGAACGTCATCCTCACCCGATAGTCGAGATACCGAAGATTTCAAGAGCTTCTTCGTGCTTCCACTCCGGCCCACCTGCGGGCTCGCCCGGGCCGCCAGCGGGCCTGCCCAGCCTGCCCACAAGCAGGACCTACCCGCCCAGAAGCCCTAGGTCGGAGCCGTCAGCCCCGGCGTCCCGCAGCGACTCGGCCTCCGAGGCCCGTCACCAAATAGCTCCCCAAACACGCTGCCCAGCAAGGGCGCCCATGACCTGGGGCCAACGAGCCGGGGTGCGTGATGACGCTATCGGACGAGTGCGTAACGCCCAGGGCCGGGAGGGGCGGGAGGGGCCGAGCTTGAGGGGACCCGAGGCCATCTGAGTCCAACCCCACTCCCCTTCCCCATTTTACAGAACTCAGGGCTTCTGGGAAAAGGCAACCCGTCCTCCCCTTTGGCCTTCAATACACCCTCCCTACAAATGACTAGTCCAAGCAAGTGGCAGAACTAGCATTCGAACCCAGGTCTTCTCCAAATCCAACTCCCTCTGAACCCAGCTGCTGCTTTATCTGCATATTAACGAGCTGACATTTTTATAATCAATCAGTCAGTAAATATTAATAAGTGCCCATTATGTGCTAGGCAACCTGCAGAGTGATGAGGACACAAAGAAAAGTAATTACATGGTCTCTCCCGATCAAGGAGCTCAGTCTAATGGTGACAACATGTAAACTACCTACAGGCTACCTCGGAGACAAGGGCAACTAGGTGGAGCTCTGGGCCCCGAGGCAAGAAGATCTGAGTTCAAATCCAGAATCAGATGCTTGCTAGCTTTGTGATCCTGGGCAAGTCACTTAAACTCTATTTGCCTCAGTCTCCTCAGCTGTAAAAATGGGGAAAACAAAGCGGCTGCCTCCCAGAATTGTTGTGAGGACTAAATGAGGTAATATCTGTAAAAAGTGTTGCTACATAAACGATAGCTTAGTCAGCAGAAGGAAGGCACTGGAATTAAGAAAGCTCAGGAAATACTCAGCAGATATCGAAGTGGATAGAGCACCTGCCCTGGAGTCAAGAGGACCTGAGTTCAAATACAGTCTCAGACACTTGACAATTACTAGCTGGGGACCCTGGGCAAGTCACTTAACTCCATTGCCTAGCAAAACAAACAAAAGTACTCAACAGAGATTTATCACTTTAAGAGTTACAAAACGCTCACAACAATTCCAGGTGGTAGATAACAACCTCACAAAAGTTAAATGACTTGTACTTAGTCATAGGATCCCAGACCTGGAAGAAATAAAAATAACCAAAACCCCCCCCCTCATTTCATAGTTGAGGCCCAGAGAGTTAAGTAAGTTGTCCATAGCTGGACAGCCAGTAAGTGGTAGAGTCTGATTCTTTTGACTCTGTATCTAGCTGTGTTCCTACTGCACCAGCTGCAGGTCCATCTTTTGTGTGCCAGTCATTCAGTGTTTTCTGGGATTCCCTTATTCCACCCTAGCCAGTCACAGTCCTCCAGCTGTCTTCCAAATACTGTACATCCTTATCCATCTTTTCTGTGATCTAGGGCAATGAGGCCCAGGACACTTGCAGTGCTACGATGGTACCCAATGGTAGCAACTCCTTTCCAGGTTTCTCTAGTTCCCCTCACCAATCCTCTCATTCAGTCAGAAAGAACTCTGGACTTGGGTAAGAAGGCCTGAGTTCCAGGTCCAGATTATCTGCTAGCTATGCAATTCACTTTCTCTAGGCCTCCATTGTGTCTTTCCTGAAAAGAGGAAGTTGTGTACAATGGAGAAGCATTAAAGACATTCCCCACTGTTAGAGGCACCCTCATGCCAGCTGAATTCAAGTTCAATTTTGCGAGGCAATAAGGCATTCATAAGTCACTGAGCAGTTAACAGAAGTAGGTTTACTTGGCTCTAACACCGCAAGGACACACAACAAGTATATAGGAGCACTGAGCTTCACCTTCCATGGATGTGGCCTCCCTCACTTTCTTATGGAAACGCATCTTGTCAACAGATAGGATAAGGCGTCTCAGGCATACATCGAGCTTTAGAGGTCTAGACCTCACATGGGTGAGACTTTTTGTGACCTTGGGTAAACAGGAAGCTGCAACAGGGAACAGAGGCCAGAAGATTCTTTAATCTTCTAATCACTGTTGCAGGAAGGAAGGAGGAAAGTGAATGTAACCATGCTGCAGTAGAGCGTGATGGGGGGAGACATGAGCCCAACCCATGTTATGCGGAAACATAGGCAGAAATTATTCCCATCATGCCCATTAATAGCAACTTCCAGGTAGGGCTGTCTTCTATCACAACCTCTTCAGTTGTAGGAGGCTGCAATACTGGCAAACTCAGGTGCTAGATTATATCCACACAAAGGTTTGTTGCCTGGATGATAGCCACTGAAGCTGGACTCGAAGCAGGGCTGATGGCGTTGTGGGTAGGGCTTTTCCCAAGGCTATAAGGGATTGGGAGCCCTATGTTACCTCCATTTGAGGCTGAAAGGAAGTGGTGGTCACATTCTCCATGAAATGGTCACTATTACACATACATCGGGGCAGTTAGGTGATGCAGTGGATAAAGCACCGGGCTTGGAGTCTGGAAGACTCATCTTCCCAAGTTCAAATTCAGCCTCAGACACAAGCTGTGTGACCCTGGGCAAGTCACTTAACCCCATTTGCCTTGGTTTCCTCATCTGTCAAAGGAGATGGAGAAGGAAATGGCAAATCAAAACTTTGCTAAGAAAACCCTAAACTCAGAGAGACGGAAAAGACTCAGCAACAGCAACACATACATCTCCTGCCATGTCTGGAGGACAGGTCATGATTGAAAAAATGCTTGAACCCAGTTGCACCCACTGTGTATCTCACCATAAAGTTTCTAGTGGTGTGTGACTTCTTCTCTGAGATTATGGCATCGTTTGCAACTGTTCAGCATCATTAGGAGAATATGTTTTGTGCCAAGAAGCAACTTGGAATCATTGGACAATTTCCAAAATACATTCCAACTCACTTCCTCCTATTCAGGAAGCATAAAGCTACAAAAATCATCTGCATCTTGACATATGACTAACAAAAGGCAGGTAAAACAGAGAAACTAATACTTTTCATAATAGTAACAAAATATAACAAATGAGCATTAACCTACCAAGATATGTAAAAAACCTACGTGAAATAATTTTCACAGAAATAAAGGAAGAACTAAATAATCAATAGTGTAGTCCATGCAAACACACAATGCATTTAAAATGTCAAAATTACAGAAGTGAATTTATAGATTTAATGTAATACTAATCAGTGCTATGCTGTTGGGCTACTTCAGGGAACTAGTTTTTTTTTTCAAAAGCATCAGTTCCTAGAACACTGAGGAGTCTTCTGAATGAGATCCATAATTATTCAAAAGAATTTGGCCTACCTAAACAGGAAAAAACAAACGGATGTAGAATGCATATTGTCTAGGCTACGATATGTAGTTAGGTGGGCTACCTCTAGAACTCATAACCGGCATATCTTATCTACCTCAATATATATACATATCAGTATTTGTGTGCATATGTATATATGCATACGTACATGCATAAAAAGTGATATGCTGGTAAATGTTTAACACCCACTTCTATGCAAATGTATGTAAGACTTATTTTTAAGTTTAGTCTATGTAATTAACATTTCTTCATCACTTTCTTAAGTCTAGATAATCAAGAAAACAATAAATCATGCTTTGCTTTGTAGCATTTGCGAACTTCTGAGGTACAAATGCCCACACTGAAAACTTAACCATTGCCTCTCATGCAGGTTAAAGTAACTCAAGCACAAGTATACACATCCATAATCTGCATATGTATATGTACATGTGTGTCCACATGTATGTATGCATGGTGTGTATGTGTATATCCAGGATAGACATTGCATATGGACAATGAAGTGGTACCAGAATTGAACAGGAAGGAGATGGTGGTCTGGATTGTTTTTGGGAAATAGCATAATTCTTTTGTCACCTTAAGCTTCTTCCTGAAGCAAAGGCCCATCTTTTTAACACCAAAATTCTTGGAATATTGTAGTCTCTGAAGATCTAAATGAATGAATGGATGAGCATTAATTAAGCATTTATTATGTGTCAAGCCTAGGCTAAGAGCTGGAGAAATAAATGTTGTTTATCCTCTGTTTTCTTTTTGGCTAGGCAATGGGGTTAAGTAGGGTCACACAGCTAGTAAGTGTTATGTGTCTGAGTTCACATTTGAACTCAGGTCCTCCTGACTCCAGGGCCAGTGCCCTATCCACTGCACCACTCAGCTGCCCCCAAGGAGCTTATTTTCTAAGAGAGAGACAATACACCTAAGGGAATGGTGGCCAGGGCCAGGCACTTTGGTCTGGAAAGTTTCAGGGAAGGTGGTGAGTAGGGCCATAGAGGAGTAGATTGATACACTCCATACAGGAGTTTACTTGAATATCAACTTGAGTTGGATGGGCCAGGAGAGCAGGGAGTGAAGTAAAGCATGGTGGGTGGGGCTGTCTTGGAATCGTGGTCTCAGAGGGGCAGTCACCAACGAAGACAGTGGGCTTCTAGGGTGGAATTTCCTCCAACATGGTGAAGCTGTAGAATGGTATACTCTAGTCCCCCTCTCAGAGGCATATAGTAGGAGTAAGCAAGCTTCGATTCATAACAAACAAGAAATCATGTAGGAAAAGCAGTACATTTTCATAAAGGATATTATCAGAGAAACATGACTGGTCGACAAAAAAAAAAAAAAAGGACTGATCATGTAAGGAGAGCAACGGGTAAGCAATGGACAGCCCAAGTGTTTTGTTAGTATGCATACAATGTCAAGAGAATTCAAGGAAGGTGCCTAGGCCACTGGGAGGATCTCTATGGTCAATTTATGGGAAGGGATAAAAATCATATAGGCTGGCAGGCATGGATAAGTTCTGATAGGCACT